GAGGGCGAGGGGCACGCGCTTCGGTGTTGTCGTTCGAGGCGCTTAGACGCTGTTTACGCGGGGTCGAGAGAGCTTATTATCGAACGCGCGAACCCAAGGGTACGATTCGTATCGCATTGTACGACGGCATCCGATGCGGCCTCGATACGCCCCGATCGACGACACCCCGGATCAGTTAAATTTCGATCGGAGTCGAAAACGCGCCGCTGTCACACCATCTTTTTAGCTGCTACTTATCGTATTTTCTACGTTCCTCCCTTAAAAAAGACGAAGATAGGTACCTCTGCCCGCAGGCATATATAAGATCACGGTGAATCGGCGCGGCTATGCACCGTGTACCATCTACGTGGTACGTTTATGCGCGGGTCAGTGTCCAAAAAGAGCAGCCACTTCTCGTCCGCGAATAAATAACCCGTGCTTTGCATACGTGGCCACAGGGCCGTATTTACTCGCGCGTGTCCGTTGCCAGTAGAAATTCGGCGAAGGGTTCGCGTGAGCTACATCGAAATAAAGATTCAAGCGTCGCGATTCCCTCGATCCAGCGATCATCGGATCGAATCACGCCCGTCGCGGACGGAGCGGAATAAAAATCCGTCGAATATTTCGCTTCGATGAAGAAGGACAAATCTGAGAGAGAGAGGCAGGGAATCGGTGCCGATCCTGGTAACTCTAGACGGGCAGCAACGGCATACCGCGGGCATGGCGCCCCTATCTTTTATGCCGGTGGTTTCTGAAAATCTCCCGGTTTGATCTGACTCCCAAGCTAACGGAGGGACAAGAGCGATATCAGGACTTGGTGGATAAAAGCGAGACGCAGGGAGGGAAGATCGGTTGGCAGCGACGGCAGTGGTGTAGCAACGGTAACAGCAACGAATCGCGTGCTCCGCGTTCCACGTTTCGTAGCCGGAGTTTACGTAAACGCGTATGAGCGTCGCGTGGTAATATGGCGCGGCGAAGTGCGCGTCGACGAGAACAGGAAAAAGGCGAGATCGCGCGCGATCCTGTGCGAACGAAACGGTAGCGTTCCGGACTTCTAGGGGCCCCTGGTCCTGGCGCGCGGCTGCACGGCTCCCGACTCGGCTCAGATAACGGCCAAGAATATACGACTCTAAACTGCACCTACGTGCGGGACACCGGGCTACCGAATTTAAGAGAAATCAAGATTTCCCCGCGATTTTTTGCTACGGCCAGCCTCCGAGGAAGGAATGAGAGTCGCGCGGTGGACGAGGGACCGACTGTCCTTCCAGGAATGCCAGTCGTTGTTATTTCGACGTATCTACTCGTTTCGAGCAGCTTGTAAATTACGGAAAGAAGAAAAAGTGAAAAGCGTGAACGCGTTGCCGTCGCGGTTGATCTGAGTTCCGCGCGCTGCAGATTCGAACACGAAAGGGAAGATGACGATCCCGGAAACGGGAGGACGATCCTAAAAACATTCCTGTTGTTACGCCGAGTCGGTTGAGAGCAGAAGGGAAAAGTCGAGAGGTCGGAGAAAACCCAGTCTTACGAGTGGAAACCGGGCGAAAAAAGAACCGCAAATCCGTGGGTAGATAAACGCGACTACCGGTCGATGCACCTATCATTCCGCTTTAGCGAGTCTGAAAGGGACAGCACCATCGACAGATGTTTCGGCATCGGCGAACCGTTCATCCGTTTTAAAGGCTCTTCTCTTTGGCGAAACCGAAAGTCTCCACGGTGTTCGCGTTACTACTTTCCGTGGCTCGCGCCGCCGTTCGCGTTGCGAATCACTCGACACCGTTTGTCCTCGAAACGAGGAGAGACAGAAGTCGCCCGGGACGGTGATCGAAACAAACGATTCCGATTTGGGAGAGTGAAAAGCCGGGAAAGAAACGGGAATACGAGGGTTCGATGCGATGCGATCGAGCCACGAAACGCGAACCTACTCGGATTTATCTAAATCCAATATCTCGCCGCACCGATCCGTCTCAAAATCGATCCGACGCGCGATCTGCCGGACCCGACTTTACATGGATCTTATCTGGCCGAAACAACCGATTAGGACACGCGGTGGAGATACGTAGAGGTACGCCTGCCGTCGCAGGTATCGAGATGATTTCTCGGTTTTCGCTAATGCCGAACGTATAACAAGAAAATTATCCAGTCGAGAACCTTTCGATAATAGGAAGAGGTCGTCGTAAGGGTCGAGAACGATCCAGAAAGGGAGGAGGTGTATCGATGGCCAAACACCGAAACCGAGCCTCGGAAACGAGCGGCCAACGTTTTGGTTTTCTACGACGCTCCGCAACAATGTTCGACGTTGCCTCTACCCGGGACCCGGTGTCCCGCTCGGACATAATGGTCGCGAAAAATCATCCATTATCCTCCGATGCTGGAGGAGCGCGAGCGACCGGAGGCCAGAGAGAGAAAGACGAGAGTTTGAAAGCAACACAATAGCGTACGCCCATATATCACTCCGGAGATTTTCCAAAAACTGCGGTTCAATGAATCTCCTACTAAGAAGCGTTCGAGGAAAGATGGAATTCTAGATTGCCTTTGTAGTACCAATCTCTTCGAGGTGCGAACCGTACCGTATAGATAGAAGTATAGAAAGAGCCTCTTCGCATTCGACGGACGGAAGTATATCGGCGATAAATCTTCCAAACTTGTCCTATCTTACACGTATGTATACGTACTTGCTACCAACGGCGATTCACGAGTTTATTTCGAACGCGAAGCCGACAATAAATAGCCGTACGCGGTAGCTACAATAAAGCACTACGTATGATTACGGGAAAACGCGAATAAGTTCTCACGGTTTTTAAAAATATAAAAATTCGTTGCACGGTGACTGATTAATTGTACATACCTATCTACGAATGAATACTACATCGTTGCTAATTGAAACGCGCGCGATCAACCTTTTCTCTCTCGTACTCTTTTCCTCTCTCCGTTCCCCGTCGTTAGGTACATATCACGTAGTCACTCTCGCAATCAACTCCGTTCGATCCCGACCGTAGCCAAAACGATTATAACAACTATTTTATCCGGCGCGGATCTGGGCCATTGTGCCTCCCCATCCTGAAAGTCATAACACGGTGCCTGTGCCGCTGCCCTTCGCCAAGTATACTGCCCTTCCCTGTTCCGTTCTTCGAGGCTCCCCTTTGCCCGCGCCATGAATCTCCGCTTTACGCGTATACCTACAAATACTACCGCGCGTCTACGTGTTGGTCGCACTCGTACCAAGATAGTATAAGTAGACTCTGATGCTCTCCTCGCCTCTCGTTGTCCGCGCGCCCGTATTTTCTTCCCTCGTGCACTTTTCTCATCGCGACTACCGCTTCCTTTACTCTTGCACGTCGAGTAACATCGCCTATAGACAGGTAAACGGGCACGCGCATATTCGTTACGCCTCTGTTCGTTAAGAGATGTTCGAAATAGACCGCGTACGAATCACGGGTAAAATCGCGGCGCGTCGTAAAATCGCAGGGGCAGAAGGAGAAGGTACGCTGTTTCGCGCGCGCGTACCCTACGTATGTATCAAGGTCCGCTGGTATCGGATGGAAGACGCACACGCGTGCAGGCCCCGCGCACGAGGAACCAGGCAATATTTCACGGCATATTGTTGCCATCTGCACACGCGACCCCGCGCCCGCGCGCGTACCACAGTCAGAATGCACCACGTACCACGTACCAGAGACGCGAGCTTTTATTTATCCGCTATTTATTTGCCAACGCGCCCGCTACCGAGAGAGAAGCGTTGCATTCCCTTTCCTTTCCTTCCCTGGTCCCCCTTCGATTCCTTCGATGCAGAGGGCTCGCGACCCTGCCAGCGACAGATTTCAAAAGTTATTAATCGTCCCATTTTTGGAAGGAGCACGCCACGAGTCGGTCGACCGACACTATACGTTCTCTTCTAGCCTGGGACGTGTACCCATAATACAGAATTCATCGAACCTGCTCTGGTATTCGAGCAAAATGTGTGACTCCTGATTTCGGAGCACGTAACTTTCGAGAATTGAATGCAAGAATTCGAACGGATTACATGCAAACGCTGACCAGCGACGCGTGCCACGAACGTGCGAGGTACGTGTATATTGGAACGAGATGGTCTCGATTACCACAACGGATCATGATATCATCCTGGTAATATCTAGAATCCGAACCGAGCTCTTCCGTGCGCTCGCGATCGGCTTCCCCGTTTCCGTCGCGCGGAACGCGGGGGGACGAAGTTGGCAACCATTTTCCCCATAAAAAATCCGCCCAAGTTTGCGCTTCCTGTTCGCGCGTCTCCGCACTTCTCGGAACGGAGAAAGCGTCGAGAGGAGGAAGCCCCGGAAAAGGGGAGTCTAGGCTGGGAGCCGGGCGGGCAGGCTTGGTCGGGGGTGCGAGCCGACGGTAAAATATATTCCAGTCGACTTCCGGTGGAAATAAATAAGAGTCACGCCACACGGTCTCGTCGCGGACCGACGCGCGACGAAGCGACGGCCGGGCGGTGATTCGCGTTCGCGCAGACGGGGAACCCGCTTATCTCTCGATATCGTTACGAGGGTGAGAGCGTTTCTATCCGTGCTCGTCGAGATATCGTGGAAATCGCGATAGTACGCTTCGCGATACGATTTAATCGCCTCCGTCTGGAAGAGCGTATCGTAGCTTCCGCGAGATACTTCACTTTGCCCCGAAGAAAATATTCTTCCTGTCTGCCTCGCAACTCGCAACTCGTCGTCGCGTACACGCGTTACGTCTACGCGGGCGTCCACTCTCGTTGCGTAGATCAGGATCTCGTTTCGCCTCCGGATAATCGTAATTACGAGTAGTTAGCCTGTTCCAGATGGAAATGCGCTCGCGTAAATAACCGAGCACACCGGCAGTTTTTCCTTAAAACTTCGAACGGCTCGGGTGCCAGACAACGATAGCTCGATTCTCTCTCGCGATACGTCGTCGAAGAGGGTGCGAAAGATCGTTATCGCGGAACGACTTTTAAAGTCGCGCATCCCACGAATCGAATCAACAACTACTTTAATTCTCATACGCTTTTCTTTCAGGTGAGAAACCGTTCAAGTGCGAATACTCCGGGTGCGAGAGGAGGTTCGCGAACAGCAGCGACCGCAAGAAGCACAGTCACGTCCACACGTCCGACAAGCCTTACAATTGTCGAGTTTCCGGCTGCGACAAATCTTATACTCATCCAAGCTCGTTGCGCAAGCACATGAAGGTACATTCCTGTTCGGAAAAATGCTCCGCCCTAATTACACGCGGACGAGAACTGTAGGTTGCCTGAATAGTTTCGTGCATATTTCGTGTTTCTCCATGATTCTCGTCGACCGCAATACGCGGAAACCAGTCGCGTAACCATTAGATTATGACGAACGAAAGATCGGAAGAAGCGGAGAGAAAAAGATACTCTCTCTCCTGCATGGTTTGCGACTTTCGATCAGTCGTCTCTCCTCTATCCCGGTTTCTTCGCTCAGATCCATGCGTTCTTGCGTCGAAGCATGTTAGGAAGGTAGATACCCTAATAACAAGTGATGCTAATGTGTATGTATGTATCTAACGTTAACGTTTAGCTCCGCCTCCTGATTCCAGGTGCACGGCATGACCCTAGGCGAGGGCAAAATAGGAGGGGGTTACGAGAGCGAGGGCGAAGAGAGCAGCAGCAGCGGGGGTAGTTTGTCGGTGACCGGACACACGGAATCTCCTCAACCGCCGGCGGTCGTCCCGACAACGACCGCGACCAACCCGCCACCTTCGAGTCATCCTTCGAGCAGAGGCCCGGAACTGACCGAGTGGTATGTCTGCCAGCCGCCGACGGTCCCTCCTCAGCACAGTCCGCTGCCGGGACCACCCCCGCCTCATCATCTCGGCCCGCACCATTTCAACCCCTTGATGCATCACCAAGCTACTGCCTACTAAACGAATCCATCGCCAATTTCTCTTTCGACAGTTCGCTCTTCGACGCACGTCGCTTTCCCGGAACCTACCAAGTCGGAAGAGGAGAGAAGTGCGAGCTAATCCGAAGAATGGAACAGCGTTCATCGACGTTTCGGGGTTTCCACTCGCGACTTCTCGACGGAATAGAGCCGCCAGCATTCGATCGTCCATAAATCAATCATCACAACTGATCGGCCAAACCAAAAAAGACAATTACCTCTATCTAGAATCTGGACGGTGGTGAGTCGTGGCGATTGTACGAAGTGTACGCGTAATCAAAGTGCCGGAACAGCGATGTGGATTCAGTGTTTTACTATGTAGTCGTTGAAGCATTCAAGACGTCGGAAGAGAAACAAACCGTGGTGCGGTGGACTCATCGCGCATTCTTCGACCAACCAAAAATGATGGCAACGGCAACGATACGCATTAGAATTAGGGTAAGACGAAGCGACAACCGCGGGCCATGGAGTACGGCTACGAGTTCCGGTTGATCGGTCGTCAAAACAAAAACTTCAAGAGAATCGCGCTATTCTATCTGTTGTATATATAATATTATAATTATCATCGTGGCCGTCATTGCTACTCGGTTGGAGCGGTCGAGCAGGAGACAACGGCGAATAAGCGGGGACAAATATCTCGCTTGTAAAATATTGTATTACTATGATATTTCTGTTACGTGTGATAACGTGTAAATACGAATACCGTGCATGCCTGCGTGTGCGTATGAAAGAAAAAGAGAGAGAGAGAGACGAAAGACGCTATCGTAATAGTAATAATCACTATTACCACTATTTCCGTTGTTTAAATGCTTAGTTAGATCGACCGAAGAGACGGAAAGCCCTCTATCATCGACCATACCTGTATCATATTATAATACCTATTTGTTTTGCAAAGATACGAAATATATTGACGATGCGACATATTAAGAGATAAATTAGTTTATCCCTCGGAATCAGATCCTTCTACACCGGTTTCCTTTCTCACCCATACGAAGGTACGTCTATCGAAACTCGATATCCCTACGTATCAATGATTAATTACTAGTAAGCACGATATGAGTTAGGTAATACGCTTTTTATGTAGGTACTTATTCGCAGTTTGTATTATCTACTTGTCGGTGATCTGTGGCTGGGAAAAAAAATGCTCAAAGATAAGATATTACACGATTGATTCTCGGTTGTCGAGAAATTACTTAAACGCTGAGAACGATGAGAATCGCTCGCAAATGTTGGGCAAAGAGAGGACTCTTGTCCGATGCCAAAGTGGCCCGCGGCACTCGCTATTCGAAATCGCGTATACACATAGTTATGAAGGCACGGAGATGCGGTTTCGATTTTCGAAGAAGCCCGATACATGAGCGAACGAAGCGAATAAAAAGTCGAACGAGGAATAGCGAGGAGAGATGCTTAGATACGGCGTACGCGCGTGTAGGATAGGGTTGGCGGAGGTGGAGGAAAAGAAGCAAGAGCAAAGAGGCTGGTCAGGCATGGCGCCAGGACGCGACGCGTCTAGCCTAGGCACCTACGCGCGAGACGTGGTAGGGACCGCGACGGAAAGAAAGATGGAGAGGAGAGATAGCATCTGGAGAGATGAACGCGCCGCGCCACGACGCGACGCGACGGGGCCATTTTATCGCTCGATAAGCAGATGAATTTGTCAGATAATTTCTGGCCCGTACGCGGATGATTTTATTAGCTGAAGCGGCGCATCAACGCGCCGGAATTTTTCGACCGGGACGATCGAGACGAGAGAGACGGGACTCCGGACGGGAGATCCCAACGAGATATCATACGTCGCACGTCTGTCCCGGTGTCTTTGCATCGCCTCGCGTGATCGATGGATTTTCTCTCGCTTCATCCTATTGCGGGGAGGAACCGTGGCGTCGATTCGTTCTTTCCTTTAAACTTTCGAATCGTAAGCCTTTTTACCTGATAATAACAGTACACGGTATAAGCGTCATCGAGTCGACGACAATTCGATTTCGCGAACCTCTACCTCGACGAGTGTCTTGCAAGAACGAAGATCGAAGGAACCGTGGAACTATTTACGTATACGTAAGTAGTAAGAAAGCTATAATCGTTCATCTACATCTACGAGCTATAGCTACAGTATAGAAACCCATTCCTATTACTCGCGAGCGTGATTCGACCGCGCGCGCGTCCGATTTCGGGACCATCCAATCGGTCAACCGGACCGCAATCAAACTCTCGTCGTTTCACAGAAATCATGGATGGACGAAAACGAAAACAGCTGGACCCTCGTCAGAGAGCACCGAATAAATATCGTTCCGACCGAAACCGAAGAGACGCGCGCAGGGGAAATGGAGACGAGAGAGGAAGAGAGATAGATGGAAAGGGAGAGAGTCGGCGACGACGAAGGGGGCGAACAACGAGGCAACGAGGAGGAAGGAAGAGGGTTCCACGGTTCGGTTCGGGTAGACGCGAAAAAATACGTCCGTCTCCAGGAACGTCCTTTTGTTTTCGCCTCTTCTTTTTTCCTTCCTATTTCTCTTCGTCGGTCATAAAGTCGAGATTCGTATTAAAGGGCACGACGTATAATTAATGCCGGACGGTCACGAAACGCGTTATGCGCGTGTGTCCGGAGGAGGACGGAGATCGCGTCCGAGGAAAAAAGGAGGAAAGAGAGAAAATTAAAAATAACGCGTACCGTGTGACTATCCGCCAAATGAATAAAAGTCGAGAGAGTCCGAAGCCAAAGGAACTGACGGTATAGACAGACGTTCCAGCCACGCGGACCGTACGCAGACCATACCAGCGGATAACAAGTACCTACTACGCGTCGCTGATGCATGTTGCGTTCGTGTCGCGTGCCACGACGCTAAGCCCTTATGCTGTGCTTCCGCACGTGCGATGTCCACAACCGCGACGCTCGTGAACGCGAAAACCGCCTCAATTAGGAACGTAATTAGTCACGAGCCGTTAACCACGCTTTTTCGCTCTGTCTCCCGGTCGTTCCTGCCTTTTTCTTCGCTTTTTTTTCTAGTTATTACGCATCGGAGTGGGAACGATCATCGAAGCAATGGAGAGCGTACATACGCTTGGAGAAAGGGTCAGTTTCGAAATCTCAAGTAAACTATCGTCCAATCGGAATTCGAGGAGATCGGCGAATCGAATAAATTCGATAGACCGTTTCGAAGCGATCGAACAGATCGATATCAATGAGTTAACTGAAAGGACGATGCATTGAAAGGGTAGAGCGCCACGCGTACGATCGGGGTCGTAACGACGTCGCCGTTACGATGCGTGGGTGCTTACCGAGAACACCCCTTTACTCCGATGCCTACTCTTTCGCCTCCGGGACTTCGACTCAAGTTTTACGTCATTCGTACGAAATTAGGCTAACGTTTATAGCAAGACTTGGAAAGATTTTGCTTTCAAACGCGTATTCGCTACGTATATCTTGTTTCGCACTGTACCCCGTTTGCGTTATACGTACGAGCTCGTAATTTTCCACGAAAATACAGAACGTAGGTAGACGGGGTGCGTACACAGTTGCCTCGACGTCGAACCAATCTGGGACGGAGTCAGGCTTAATCTCGTAGCGCGAGCTATACCAGAAGATGGAAGAGAGCGCGAAAACGCGAAAGACGATGCGAAAGGGAACGAGAATGGGAACAGGAACGGGAACGAGAATGGGTTGTAGTTGTAGCGGTCTCGAATATTGCGATGGTCTTTACCAATAACCGGAATTGCACCGACCCGCTGTGCTGCGAGTAGTTTTCGTTATTCGAGCGTGAAGTATTATCGCGAAGGAGGATAAATGGAGGTAGGTAGGTAGGCCGCGAATGGAAGAAGAATAAAAGAAGAGGACCGGATGAACGTTTACCCGTCCGCTCCGATCCGGTGAATACGAATGGAAGAGGAAGAAGCGAAGCCCGAGAGGACGGGAGGGAGAAACGAGAAAACGAGAATCGAATGAGAACGAGAGCCGGAAAGTGCAATTTGTAGTTGCTCTCATTTGTCACTGTATCTCCGTCCGCCTCTTTCACCCTTCCTAACCTTGCCCACCACTTTTCATCGTTCCGCTCCTCGTTCTGCCCCTTCCTTCGTCCGCTACATATTTTTTTACCCTCTCCCCGAGTCCCGAGTCTCGAATCCCCAGTCCTCTTTCCATCCTATCTATGTACCGTTTACCTAATAATAAGTAGGCATCGCATTTGTCGCAGAACGTCGCGTTTTCGACCGACGAAACGTCCTGCAGCGAAAGCCGTAAAGCGCGCACGTGTCCCTCGTTCGCGTAGTCCGGTTATGAAATTCGAGCACGATTAGAAATCTAAAATATGCCTGACGCGTTCGATGCGGGCCGTAATAGTAACGGTGATTAGTGGGCCAGCGTGATCATCGATTCGAGGCTACGAAGATCCATGAGCCTCACGAGGATCGCTCTTCTCCAATTTGGAATTTCAAATGTTTGATACGTCGTTTCTCATCTTCCTCGTCTCTCGTCGTTCCGTGTCCTGTCACGGGAGAACCAGAACTCCTTTCGACTTATTGTTAGCATTTTGACTCGAGTACGCGAAAAATCAATTTATAGTCCCGATGCCTCTCGTCGATCATCTATTCGCGTGGTTATACACGTATGCAGGTATGTACGAGCGTCATCGCACCGCGGAGGTGGTCCTCGCGGCTGACGCAGCGATGCGTGACTACCACAACAGCCCGTCTGCTCTTATTATTATAAATTATTTATTTGCATTTCCAAATGATCCTTGAAGAATCACGGTATTATGCTAATGCGGAGATTAACATATAGGGAGGCCCAACACGATATTTCAACTCGCCTCTCCATTTAGACTGTGGGAGTCTAGCCAACGGCGTTTGATCTCCACACGACTCGAAAGAAAGGCGCTGCTCGGGGATATTTTATCATTTCTCTTTCGTTAGAAAAAGAGAACTCGTACGGCCGCGGACTGGCGTAGGAATTCCGGGCTATTCCGCGACCCCCGTTCCGACTCGCTCGCACCAGAACGATCCTCGCATCTTTCGATCGACGATCTGCGAAGGTAACGCTCGGTTTAATCTATCTAATCTCCCTTGGATGTTCAATTCAGTTCGGATGATTCTACGTTCGTCTAAAGTCAACGCGAGAATCTTGCGTACGTCCGCAGTTCGTGTAACGTGACAATGACCATCGATAAGAGAGGCGAATACTATTTCTATTCCATTATCGCGTACGTCTTACGTGATACGAAAGTAGTCGATAAAGCCCGTCCACGTGCGATAAACGTTTCTCAGGCGATCGACGAACCTTCCAATCTATGGATGATACGTTACTTTGTGACACGGTCGACGGGCACTAATTTTCGTGTAGGCCGCATAGGTCGCGTCAACGGGAACACGGGGTCAGGCCTCGAACGGAAGAAAGCTCGTCGAACAAGTTACATATGTATATGTATGTACCACCTGACTAAACGTAATTAACGTTGGTCTATCATTATGTGGTAGCGGAACCACACCCTCGTCATATTATATGTTTATAAATCAGGCCGAAACGGTTGTAAAAAAGGAAGACGAGGACGAAAATCGAGAGTGCTCGTGGGGGCGCTTAGACTTCGACCAGAGCTATAACCAACCCGTGGAAAGGGGTACGGAGGGGCGAGGAACGAGGAGAGGAACGGGCCGACCCCGGCGTGTCCGTGGCGAGCAGGTAGAGGAATTCTTATGCTAATGATTTTATGATCGTGGAAATGAATGCTCGTCATATTTTTTTAATCGCCTGGGTTTCCACGTAGACGCGAGTCACCGGCCGGCCAGAAACGATCTCTCCCTCTTCTCTCTCTCTCTCTCTCTCTCGCTCTCAAGGCAAACCGTCTCCCGACTATCGCTACCCACTATTTTATGCCCTGTCGTTCTTTATCCCCATTGTTACAGCGTTAACCTAGCTGGTGCGTGTACCGGACTC